TGTGGCAATCTCTTTCGGTCCGCTCTACGTAGCCGACAAGGTCTCGAAATTTCTCTGCTGTCATAGAGTTGATGTCGGCACGCATCACACGGGACGCCTCTGCGATGCCGCTTTGTCCATCCGCTAGCAGTGCGAGGGGCATCGAAGTCTTGGTTACGTAAATCGCGTTGCCAAAGTAAGGGTCAGGAAGCCGGAGAAGGGCTCGGCAGTCTATGGGCTGGGCGAGATGTGTAATTGCTCCACCGGCCAGAATACCAGCACGGTAACGAGCAAGCATGATGCTCCGCCAGATAAAAGCTGATATCGCATCGTTTGTCGATATCCAGGCTTCGGAGCCACATGGTGGTGCGGTTGCGACACGTTTCAGTTCCAACACATCTTTGGCGCTGATACGGAATGTCTGGCAAAAGTTATCGACATCCCTGATTTTGGGGTGCGCGTTGGAAGCTGATGAGCTCCAAGCAGCGTGATTCTCGATGGCTCCATGCACTCCGTTACCCGTAATGAGAGCTGTCCGATCAGAATGATAGACGTCTTCTCTTTGTTCCAAAGGAAACCTAGATTCACCGGACTGGGCCTTGCGAAGCTCTTTGGCAAATATATCGATCACTTGCGTCACTCCTCGACCATCGGCGGCTATGTGGACGATTGATACCACGAGGAGCAAGCCACCTTGGACAAAATTGGCCTGGAACGCGCATACTGGTACTGGCTCCTCCGAGATATAGACAACGTTCGGTAAGGGGCAGAGCTGCTCGGTGTTTAGAAGGTTCTGGGAGAAATTCGATCTTTCGAGCTCAGCAAAGCTGAGCTCTCTCGATAGGTCCTTAACCTCTAATCGGGCGCTTCCTTGGGATACAAGGTTGCGAAGCCAAGGGCGTCCCCCTTCCTCGACCGAGAATGGCACTATCGAGCCAGCAAGGAAGGGGGCACGCTGGATAGTATGATGGAAAGCGATGTAGAGGTAGTCCACTACGCGCTGGTAGTCTACATCGGGTGAGAGCGAGAAGCACAAGATTCTTTTGGAGTGAGTCGGTGGCAAATTCCGATCCCAATGGGATAGTTGTAGCTTAAATGGGGGGCATGGCACTAGGAAAGTTCTCTCCATGTCGTTTGCTTCTAGTAATGAGTATAGATTGGATCTTAATTGTGGTGGAGACTCGACTCGAGGGAATAGGCACTGCACGCACAATGCTACGCAGCTTGAAGGAGCGGCATCGACTACCTAGTCGCATGCTTGTTTATACCATTTCGTCAGTAAATATATGCTAATGAGAGTGGTGGCTGCCTCGAGTAAGTTCTCCACGAGCATCAACACAGCGTCGGTTGACTCGGATCTCTCTGCCCTTCACAGCTTTCTCTATTTTTCGGACCGACACTGGGCAGCAAATGGTAGACGTATCACTGGGTCCCACTTAGAATTTGTACTCGGGGACTTAATACTTCTTTCATTCGCCCACCGGCTAGTTTTCTACGAAGCTGCAGCCTCGGGGCGAGCCGGAGAGCCGTGCTTTCCACTGCCGAATATCGACCTGGCGGTCAGATGTTTGAGAGTGATACGATCATGCAGAGGTGCCGTAATACGCACATGCAGGTGGTATAACTGCCTGAACAGGAAATAGTTGTAAAGATGACCTTTAAAGCATTTCATCTCTTCGAGTCCTGATGAATCGTCACTTTTTATTGATGCCGTGGGGCGTGTATTTAGCTCTTTCCGAGCAACCCCATCTTTCGAATAATCAAGCATCTTTACGACCATCAAACCAGTAGTCACCCACACCAACACGGAAGACCCGTTATTTCCCTTACTCTTAGGCGTTTCATTAGCTACCCACACCATCTAGCCGGCGTTGTAGGTCAGAGCAGGGTGGTAGTGCCCGGCGCCACACGTCCATCGAGGATTCCTGCTTAGGATTTAATGAACTATCTAGGCATATTGGCCGCATACATTGCGAACTGCTTCATCGAGCCCTGCCTTCGAGGCGGATTTACCCATGTGCAATCCCCCTATGTCTTGGTAAAACCAGCCCCACTCAAGCTTGCCAACACAGCTGATGGCGGAGCTCAGTAATCTTGCGCCCAAAGTTTCAAGGCTATCCCTTCTAGTGTTGCTTACGAGAGGTAAGCTTGACTGTGGCGCTGTTCTCTTTACCAGCGAGAGGAGGGCTGTCTATAGAAGTAAATCTAGTGGCTAATGGCATATAAAGCTTTTATTGAATGCTTCTTGTCGCAATGCTTTCACTTAGTAATATGAGTGATCTTTTTGTTATGCGATTGCTAACTATTATATAAATACTACTACCTCCCCCTCCCTCGAAGCAACCGCCTGTCTATTCAATCGATTACTGAGCTGCCTTGTTGCTCATAGTATTTAAAATTACAGTCTAGAATTTGTGAGCTGCTAGGTAATGACTCGGCCAGTCGAATTATTTGTTCCCTTCCCTACAAATATGCAGGATCTTGCGGCAGTTACTATTGCCAGGTGGATGAGCATTGGCCTGGGCGTCCTCGCCTTCAGCATTGTCTACGGGATTACCCTAGTTCTATACCGGCTCATCTTTTCACCCATCGCCCGGTTTCCTGGGCCAAGATTGGCAGCCGCTACGGCATGGTATGAGTTCTACTATGATATATTGAAATCGGGTAAATATTACAAAAAGATCAACGAGCTTCATGATATATATGGTGAATACAGCGTAAATTGGGGATAACACAGGAGGTTATGGCAGCTAACAATAAATAGGACCCATTGTTCGCATCAACCCCTGGGAACTGTCAGTGCGGGATGCCGATTTTTACAGCACGCTGTACGTGGCCGGATCGGTTCGACGCACTCAGATTTTCCCCCGTGCTCGTGCTGGAATTGGCATGGATGGTAAGAGGGGCCATCTCTTGGAAACGAAGTTGTAACGATTCCCTGACTCTCATGCAGACTCGCACCCGAACGCGGAAGACCACAACCTTCACCGAACCAGGAGGAAACCTCTAGATCCATTCTTCTCCCGGAAGGCCGTACAGAGCTACGAGGGCATGATATTGGAGGAGTTGAATGTCCTTGAAGATCGCTTGCTGGGTCTGAAAGGAACCGATAAGGTGATCAACATGGAACACATTTATGCCGCTGTTATCGGCGACCTGATTGGGCGTGTGTCAGTTATCGACCCGCCTTCTTTCATTTCGGACCCGGAGATCTCGTCGGATTGGTAAATATGAACTCCTTCACTTCGGCTTCTTATCATTAGCCTTTCTGACCGTATTGTTTTAGGCATGACACACTTTGTGGCTTTTTCAAGCAGATTACGTTGTACACGCACTTCACATTCTTGATGGGGTAACTGCAAATTTTGGCAAGTGTGGTGTGCAAGCTTCGACTAACAGCGTATCAGTTGGGTCAAATGGATCCCTCTCGGAATTCTCCTTCGCTTCTACCCCAAAGCAGCAGGGTTTAGAGCATTTACGGAGGTAAGCACTTATGTATATCTTCTCTATCCTTGGCGTTCACTCACGAACCGCCGTTAGATCGCTAGGAACCATATCGACGAAGCAAAAAGCAGGATTAAGCAGGAAAAAGCCGGGGATACTGGGAGCAATCGGCCCACTACCCTTGTGCAGCATCTACTGACGTCAGATATGCCCGAGTCGGAAAAAAGAACAGCCCGTCTCTTGGGGGAGTTTATCGGTGTCTTGTCTGCGGGCACCATGACGACATCTCGTGCTCTGTCAACTATTACCTATTTTGTGCTTGCGGATAAAAACATCGAGGAGACTCTGCGAGCATCACTCGCTGAAATAATGACTGGGTATCCCGCCAAGAGCCCGACATGGGCCGAACTAGAGCGTATCCCGTACTTATTCGGCTGCGTTCGTGAAGGTCTTCGGTTAGTGCTTCAGTAAAATTGGACACCGTTGCTCCGGATCAAAACCCAAGGGATGCTAATGAGCCATTGCCGACCTAGGATAAGCTTTGGCTCGTTGAGGCGGATTCCTCGCGTCTCCCCTGATGTGGATTTGCAGTATAAGCAGTGGCTCATTCCTCGTGGAGTAAGTTAACTCTTTCTCCTCTAGGTATTGGTTATAACACGGTGGATTTAGACACCGGTTGGAATGTCAGCATTTATGATGCACACAGACCCAGACGTCTTCCCGGAGCCGTATCAATTCAAGCCCGAGCGGTGGATTGGAGACTACGATCCGAACCTGAACCGCAATTATGTTCCTTTCTCTAAGGGCTCCCGGAGCTGTTTGGGCAGGAAGTGTGTATACCGCCTACGAAGCAGGTGCCAAAATCGTACAGCCGACTAACGACAAGTGTAGCCTCGCATATGGGGAGTTATATCTCACCCTTGCTGTCTTGTTCCGACCCGAAGGTCCCAAAATGACTTTGTTTGAGACCGACGAAACAGACGTCATCCCAGTTCATGATTACTTTCTAGCGATGCCCAAGTTAGACACAAAGGGAATGCGGGTCAAAGTCGAGTGAGATACCCCGACTCGGATCCACATCAAACTCAATCTAGTTGTTAGGAAGGATGATGGCATTAAAATCGGTTCCTCTAGGTTATCCGCGATAAGCAGCGAATTTTATAAAGTGAATTTGAGCAGAAAGATGATTCAGGTACTCCGAAGAGGAATAGATGACACAAGATCCCGGAATTCGGTGTCAACTCGACTCCTTTAGGTCTAGTAAACAGTTTGCGGGCGGCGACGTAATTGTATGCTTAACACTGGATATCTTTGTCTAGATCTAGGGAGGTACCGATACTGTGTGTAGACAAACACCATCGGCGAGGTTTTTGGATGAAGCCTAGTCAGATGTTGTCTACCGAAGCTGTGATATGAGTGGAGCATCTTGATGGCCCGTTGCTGGCTCGTTGCCGCCAATTACATAATAAAAATAAAGACGGCAATCATGAAATCCATTATATATTAAAGGCACAGAAACACACTCTCAGCCTTCAAATAGAAAGAATAGAGAATAGAAAATGATAAAAAAAATTACTCTCGGATACCGGGAATCGAACCCGGAGCTAGCGAGTTTGCTCGTTTGAGAGTCCTGGTAGTGGATTAGCTTAAGGATCGCTTAATTGTGGACCGATAACCCTTACGCTGATGTTAACCATTACACCATACCCGACTTGGTGAACAAATCGTTTTCTTTTCGTTATAATAATCGAGAAAAGGATAAGCCTAAAAAAGGTAAAAAGAAGGAATCATCTCTCGGATACCGGGAATCGAACCCGGAGCTAGCGAGTGAGCTCGTTTGAGAGTCCTGATGGCGGATTAGATGCGAGTCCGTTACACATTTGATTGGCTAAATCTTACGCTGATGTTAACCATTACACCATACCCGATTTCGTGGAAGATCGCACCGCTTAAAAAGTTTTATTAATGCAGTGAAAAGTTTGAAGCCCACCTGCATGTGACTGACAGGGGCTCGGTCTGGAAAAAACGTGCACCGCAAAATAAAGTGGATATCAATACAAATAATAAGGTATCATAGCATCACGACTGAACTTGTAACGAGCGACCACCACATATTTCAAGTGGGAAAATGCTCTGAAATTTTGACTGGCATTTCTCATAATATATTTGTATCTTTATCCCTTTTCTCAGATTTCAAAGCATTATATTTGAGTCTTTGTTGCTGACCTAAAGATAGTACATGTTTTGCAGTGCGCATTTTTTTTAAGACCGTGCCAGCATCCGGACGAGCTTCCAATAGTTAATGTGGGCCGGATTTGCCTCTTCGGCCGATGCCGAAATTGCCGAAGCTAGCTAAGAGACGCTCCCGTACGCAGAACTTCTACATACTGTCACCCCCTTATAGCTCTGCCCCGTTGACGGCCCCACCACCGAAGCTGCTCCTGGAACAGAACCCAGATCAAGGACTCTACCGCTGTCTCGTGTCGTGGCGGGCGGGTCCTCTTTTCCAAGCTAGGGGTGCGTACTGCGGCTCTGTTAATTTTGCTTCGTGTTCCAGGCCTAATCTGCACGGATCCTTGCTTACCACCCTCTCCACACCTGTCCCCCTGGCCAACAGTTTCTTGGGTCCGGGGTAACCGACAAGCCAGATTCATGATGCATGGATGACGAGGAATTAGTTGCAGACTAGTCTAGGCCTACTGTCATGTGTCCTCGAATCGCAAGGTGGATCGTTGCTAGACTATGGCCCCGAGAACCCAGATCCCGGATCCCGGGTTCCCGCATGCTCATCACCAAGAACAACCCTGGTCGGTGATGGTAGGAACCGGCTTCGGCCAACGCCGACTCACTGTTGGAACACTGATTTTTGGCGGCCCGGGTATATAATCGAGGCCTTACGACATTTTGCTATCGCGTTTGACACTTGCAGCAGCTAGCCACTACTCCGCTACACCGAAAACGCTGCTGCAATGGAGACCTATAGCTGGTACAACATCACGGTATGAGGATAGACTAAGAGTCTCTCCTGCTCTGGCTGCAGCGTACTAATTGGAAGCAGGTTGTGTGTTTCGCAGCTTTCGGGTCTCTATTTACGGGTTACTCGCTAGCTGTCTTTGCTTTCACCATTGGTCAGCCGACCTTCTACTCGTCGCTCGGCTTGGAGCAGAACAGTACGGCTCCCGGGTATAGTTACACCAGCGAGATTATTGGCGCGTCAAATGGCATCTTTTTTGGTACTGGCTTCTTTGGCTGTTTTCTGGCAGGCTGGGCTGGAAACCGATTCGGGCGAGTCAATGGTTTCCGTATCGCAGCTGTAACTGGAATCATTGGAGGTATACTGCAATGCGCATCACAGTCACCGGTAATGGTTAGTCTGTCAGCACCTTGCACGCCCCAAACACCATGTTGACGTGGACAAATAGTTCTTGGTTGCCAGGGCTGTGGCTGGGCTGGCTGCAGGTCACACGATGGCCGCAATGCCGACCTATTTCACCGAAGTTGCCCCCCCTCACTCTCGAGGCTTGATCACCGGTGCACACGCAATCTTCATAAATATTGGATACTGTATCGCGGGGTGGATAGGGTATGTGTACTCAATTTTAGTTTTATCACGCTCTCGCTGATGTGTCTCTGTTTTAGGTTCGGGTGCTATTTTACTCCCGGTTCGGCATTTGCGTGGCGATTCCCTTTCTCCGTAGTTTGCATCTGGGGCCTCTGCCTCCTTGCAGGATCGTTGTATGGTATGGTACCTTATGAAAATACCCATGGTGCGATAATGGTTCTGACTCTGCTTAGTGCCGGAAAGTCCGAGATTCTTGGTTCAGCATGACGACCATCAGAAGGCACTCGATATCCTTATCCGACTTCATCGTGATCCTCGCGATCCCAATAATACTTTCGCTCGTCAAGAGCTACAGATGATTGTACAGAAATGGCAGACAGAGAAAGAGGTTGTGAAAAGAGATGGCCGATGGCGACTCTTCACGAAAAAGGCCAACCGTCAAAGACTCTTTCTTGCATGGCTGGTCATGGTTGGGGGCCAGAATATTGGACCTCTGGTTATCAACAACTACAATGTGCTGCTCTACGGTTCACTTGGGCTAGGGTCTACGACCTCGCTCCTCTTGTCGGCGGTTTACAACTCCGTCGGTCTCATCATAGCTTGCATCGGTGGCCTGATTGCTGACCGTCTCGGTCGAAGGAAGGCTCTGAGTAGGTTAAAGCATCTTTCCGTTCTTGTGACTCCACTAATTAAAGATCCAATCAAGTTGCCGGCTATGTATCCATAACGTGCGTTTTTGCAATCCTAACAGGGATGATTGCAAAATATAACACGACACCGACTAAGAGCTGGGCTACGGCGGCCACAACGATGATCTACATCTATGTAGTTTGGTAAGGCCTCTCTCTACTACGGTGTGAAAATCGCATCTGACAGTCTGCAACAACAGTTACAATTCGTTCGTTGATCTCAACCAGTTTACCTTCGCCACTGAAATATTCCCGACCCATGTTAGAAACCAGGCATCTGCCGTGGCTATCAGCGGCCTTTTTCTTGCAGACATCCTCTGGCTGAACCTTCTCCCCACGGCCACAGCTACTATCGGCTGGAAGTATTACCTGGTGTTTGCCTGTCTGGCTACGGTACACACCGTATATTTGGCTTTCTTTCTCCCAGAGGTATGATGGCATTCAAGGAGTTTGGCACTAAGAAGATACTAACGTTATTTTCAGACGAGCGGCTGGCATCTGGAGGAAATGGACCATGTGATGACGACTGGCGGAAGGAACGCCCAAAGCCAACTAGACGATGAGAACATAAAAGGTGTTGGGGACTCAAATCACGTGGAGGCTATAGCAAGTGAGACGCAGCTCCAAGGAAAAGAGTAACTGCGCACGACATCGGTATGGCTAAGATACATGCACGAACTGATTCGTGGAATGCGTCGCCCTTCTGAGCACAGCAGATTCCTGTGTTGATCTGTGCGTCAGTATTAGTAGACTCAACTAAATGAAATTTCACGTCATTTCGCGTGCAACGTTGACGAGACTCTTGGTCTTGTACTCGCAGTATAACTAGCAGCCTAGGGAACAACCGGGGAGATAACAGAATATAATAAGTAACTTTAGACGAAGCACCAAATGAATGGCGTGGTACAACCTCTTGTATGGGATGAATGTTTCATGCACATGATATAGGAACAGGAATTTCGTGTACATGAGACATGCTTACACCATCAATTATACTTTACAAATACGACCTTCCCCGAGACCTTTCCCCCTTGAGCAATCCCATAGCGTCATTGACCGAGTCCCAAGGTATCTTTTGCACCGGCACCGGATTTAGCTTTCCTTCTTTCGCCATCTGCACTGGCCTCCGCAACTGTTCCAAGTTGCCAGTAATGTTGTAGGAGATAGTTAGGCGTTTGAAAATGTTGGCCACGAGGGATAGTTCAATCGAGCCTCCCATCAAGCCGACCTACTCCCGCTTAGCTCCTTTTACAACTATGCCGCTCACCAGACTAGCGGTAGTCGAGCTGTTAATGAAGTCAATCACGGCAATTACTAGTCCATTAATAGCTAAAAATATCGCTGGACGCCAAAGGGCCGAAAGTGTTTACTGTCTTAGCTATATCCGCTGCGGCGGCTCCGGCCAGCTTCTCGTTGCTGATTTCTGCACTGATAATACACTTGTGCCTAAACATCTTCCGAACTACGATTACAGCGAGTCTAAATCCTCCCGTGACGATAAGGTGGACGGGTTCTTACAGCAGCAGCGGGTATAACATTATTAACCGCACTAAGAGTTAGTTATAATTTTGAAATACTTAAAAGTACAAGCCGTAGTAGGTTCAAGATCGCCAAGGTCAACTAGATATTTCAGAGACAGGTTCAGGATATACTCGGCAAAGGCGCTGTTTCCTAATGTTACCGGCCATCTCTAGGCAACGGAAAAATTATCTTACTCTTAGCTATAACCTATGCAGTCACAATACCCAGCCAGGGGTAGATAATCTAACGCAATCCTATTAATACGGTGCCTAAGTCTAGCCCGACAGCAGCCACCTCTTCTATTTTTTCTTATTCTAATACAACCGGAAATTAGATACTACAGTCTTTAATATAGAATCGCCGTCCTCTTCCGACATTATAAAATCCTTTAGCGGTATATAGCTCTAAATAATAAACGCCTGCATAGGTTGCCTTTACCGGGACTTCTATTCCCTAGAGTGTTAGAATAGTGTAGCAGATCTTCTTCGGTAACCTACTCCACTCCGTCAGAGCCCAAACATCTATTTAGTCTGTCATTATCGATTAGTCAAGTGGTTTACGGGTTGGTAACAGCTAAGTCTGGAGGCGACGAGTTATACACATCTTTCACCGGCTCTACCCTGAAGGCATCTATCATATTCACCCGCGACTTCGGCATTGGCCGAGTTTGGAGGGTAGTTAGTTTGGGTAGTGCCGTGCCTCGCTATCCTTTTGCTGAGTTGCATTTCGGGGCCTGGAGTGGATGTTGACCAAACTATCGCCAGCGCCTCGGCGCTCCTCCAAAGCGACTGAGCTGGTTTGAAGCCTTGGCGGTTTCTAAGTCTATTTCGGATTTAGATAACCTTCGGACTGAAGTCACAAGCAGCTTAGCGGCCGGACAAGACGAGAATGCAGGACTTAAAGTGCGCATAACGTACTAAGAATAAATCGCGCTGGAATGCGTTTGTAGTCGATAAAGTTCTTGGTCGGTCTGCTATCGGCAAAGCCATTAAGAGAGCTGAAAGGACGCCAATACCTGCTCGATTCTACAGGGCAGCGCAATTGTATGGAGTGGACACAGAACTTAGCCTCCACTGACTGCATTCCCCTAGGGGGAAGGTTACGTGCCCCATAGGGCTCCGTGCGGGGGTGCCAAGCGCTAAGCTAACTAGGCGCT